AGGATTAGCTTTTCAAGAAATTTTTAAATTTTCTCACTTTCTGGCACAGATAAAGGGGAAAATAACTTGCTTCACTGTGAACGATTACAATAATGAGCATGGGTGTATAGAATTGGCTGTAATTAGAGGTGGGGGGTATTCTTTATCTATACTTCCAGTTGCTGAAATTTTGGTTGTGGGGGTGTTTCACTGGTTTTATTCTTTATCTGTACTTTCAGATGCTGGAATTTTTTTTTCTGTTGGAAAAGAGTTCGAAATTTTCCACTTTTTATTATTCGTAACAAGGAAGAAAATTTGCTCTTGAGTTTGAAGGATTATGACATAATGGGTCTGAGTTTTTGTGTTGCTAGTGAAACTGGTTGCTGTTGAAAGTGAGGGCGTTTTTTTTGTTATGAGGTTTCAAGAGAGGACAGCCAAACAAATTAGCAATCACTGAGTAATAAAATTTTATTATTTCACATTTGAATTCTGCATCTAATATAATTTCGAAATTTCATGGTTTTGAGTATTCGTAATGCTTGAATCAGGTGTAATTCAAAGTCCGATCCTGACCTCATGTGATTCACGGTTTTCCAGTTCTTTTGACCAGTGCTGCGGCGCCGAATGGTCAGCTTTCTTGCCATCCTTAAAAGGCGTTCCATCTTCTGAAAGGCTGCTAGCGAGACATTTCTTCTAGCGAAAGTACTTGCCGGGTCGAAATAGAATTAAAAATAGGGTATATTAACAACGGATAAAAAAAGAGGAAAAGCAAAAAAGGTTGAAGATGAGAATTACAAAGTTTGTAAATTATAAGAATTATTTTAAGAATTATTTTAAATATCGTCTTTGATATTTGTAAACTATCACTCGATTCAAGTTTACCCACCCCAATGATAATTGATTAATAGAATTTACCTATTGCTTAGAATTCAGTTAAAAAATTTCATTTGAATTCGGTGGCTAGACTTGGAAAATTTAGTTCCTTATCAAAATGCGCTGATAAATTTCACATTTGGATTTTTCGATGCGATTTTATCTTTTCAGAAAATTTCTTCAATTTTTTGCGAAAATGTGCAGTTTGCTCGGGTGTTTGGCTCGCAGACCATTGATCCGTTGGTTCTTCAAATATTTTTCGATTCACCGGGTGAAGTGATTCCATCAACAACATCCCGGGAACGTGCCGATGTATCCACGCAAACACACAACCTACAGCAAGTTTCACCGCGCCATGCTGCATCGGCTGATGAGGAGATGCTAAGTTTGGTGCAACTTACACCACCACCAACTGCCGGAACCCTCTCAACACTGTCACCGGTTGGTAGCGTTGGTTTACCCTGCTCCACATCGCCACAGCAACAGCAGCAGCAGCAGCGTATCACACCGATCGTGGTACCGCCTGGACCGAACGGTCACGCCAATCACAATACC